AACTAGCTAGGTATGGGAAGGTCCAACCTAAACAGCTCTGGAATTGGATTCATCCCAGTGACCACGGTGCCAGCCTCCGAGGTCTGGAAGGTAAATGTATTTGTATAACTCCGGTCCAGGAATTACACAAATATACCTAGACTCTGGCTGGGCATTGAGACATGGTAAGGGACAAAGCTGCCGCCAGTCATTCTTGCCCTTGAGAGGTGTTAGTGTTTGCGCCAAGGGCAACTGTGGAGGGGAAAAGGGCGGGGAGGCAGAAGAGGGTCTAGCGCCTCTGTTCCTTAGATCCACTAGGTGCTAATAGCAGGTGCAAAGGCGGGGGCTTGGAGAGACGTCCCGTTCTGTAATCAGCGCCTGCTCTGCCATTCCACTAGGCAGACACTCCCACTCTTTTGACCCACGGGCTATGGCCGCCAAACGGGTGCCATTGCCGGAAGGGCAGTCCTAAGAGCAGCCTGGATCCCTAAGAGCCGCCCCCCTCCTCACCCCACCCCCCACCCCGGCTGGCTTGGGTATCGCAGCACGGCCCGCAGCTGTTAGTGTAGGAGCTCAGCATCCTGGCACAGGGATATCAGACGAGTGTCCACCGGTCAGGGTCGGATATGGGAGGCTTTTCTAGGCTGAATGCACCAGCCCAGAGAGTAGGAGAATTTTGAAGTGGGGAGGATGACAGTAGAAAGGTTAATCGACCCCGCCTCACCTTAAACAAGAAAAACAAAAATGTCTTCTGGGCTAAAAATACAAATTCAGCAACTCCCTGGGCTCAGGCGGGCGGCGAGTTACAGCTGCCGGCCTGGCCCAGGGAAGACTTGGCCGCGCGGCCGCCGATTACACCCAGCTTGGCTGGGATGGCTCCGAGCCGTCTGCCCTGACGTCAGCGAGGCTCCGGGCCCCGCCGCCGCGAGATAGGCAGCGCGGCCGGGCGCGGGCGCGGCGCTAATCACTCCCAGATGTCCCTAATAGCGGAGATAAAGACCGACGGAGCGGCCGGGAATAAATTTGTAATCAGGGCTCTACCATCTGATCATCAAAGCAGCCCAAATGCCCGGAGAATTTGAAGGGAATGTGTGTGTAGGGGGGTCGTGTTTAGGAGAGAGGCGGGGGCGCGCTCCTCGAAGGGAACTGACTTGGGTAAGGTGGAGCGAGACCATGGAGAGAAGTCTACTTCTGTGCGCGTGTACGTCAGATACCCGGTGCACTTTAACGTCCACGAACCCGCCTGGCCGAAGCCGCTGGGCTGTTACAGGCCAATTAGACCCCAGCAGACAGTTGCTGTGAGCGAAGTGCGCGCGTGGCGCAGCGGCTGAATAGTCAAGCGGCCAGCTCAGCGTTGTCCGGCCCCCGGAAATGTGGGATTCGTTTCCTCTCCTAGAGTTGCCCCCCCCTCCCATTTCTAAACAGAAAAAATACTTCGTTCTCCCCCTCCACCCCCATCCCCCGCCCCGACCTAAATTCTACAGCCCGGCTGAGCTGGAGCCGGGGTCCTGGGCCCCAGCCCGAGGGCAGCTCCAGAGTCCTTCTCTCCGACGGATCGGTGGTCTCCAGCAGGCCTGGAGTCCGGCGCGTCCTGGAGACTCAGTAGCGCCCCCTCCTCGCTCAGGAATCTGAATCACAGGAGTTGGGCCCGGTGAAGAGAATGGGTTTCATCAGGCCAAAAGATCCAGCAAAGACAGGGAGTGCCCAGATTCATCCCTCTGCGGGGCATACGCCACAAGCCTCCTTTCCAGGTCATCTCCGCTTGGCATCTACCACCAATCCCTTTTTCCAAATCGAGGCACGTGGGTGGGACTGGCGGGTAGGGAGAACGCACGCCAACTGGAAGAGAAAACCGCCAGCCGCTCGCGCAGCGTTAGAAACAGCGTTTCTTGAAAGCTACACGAATAACGAAGGTTTCCCGCGCTTTGCAGACCCGCAGCGCTAATGCAGTCCCGGCTATTGTGGCATCCTTTGCCCAGTTTACTGTTTCCTGCACATACACACCTCAAGCCCTTGCAAGTGGCTCGGTTCTCTCTGCAAAGGTAATCTTGGAAGCAGCTCGCAGGCCTCCTTCTGCTCCCTGTGACTTTTCACTTGAGCTTCCACTCACCCTCGGCACCCTTTCCTGTGACATCAGCATGCACACAACATCCTCACCCTCCTGCTACTTTAACGACGGGGTGAGAAACCAGCTCTGCGATCCTCACGGGGAGCGGGTAGCAGAGGCATAGGTGATGGAAAAGGGATCGAGCCACTCCCTACCCCCCCCCAGTCTTGCACACTAGCTTTTCAAGGGGCTGGGAAGCTGCCCTCCCTGGAGCCACGGCTGCACCCACCTCACTGCAGAGGACCAGGCTGCCTGGTCCTGCGACACCTGAGGAGGGCAGCCTAGGCCGGAAGGTCTGTCCTTCCTAGGTTCCTGGCCTACTGGCTATCTCACTTGGAGGCTGGAACTTCCCCCAGAGGAGGCCCTGGGAATTTAGAAGGCAGAAAGAACCTCAGGTGATTTTGCTGTTATCTTCTCGGTTTTTCGGCCTGAAAAGCTCTTAAAGTTACTGTCAGTGTCCTGGCTGGGGGCGAAAGTCCTGGAAAACCTCCACTGGGAGCAGGGAGTGTGCTCAGGTAATTCTGTTGAGTTTTCCAAATTACTTCCCAAGAAGTTGAGAATGGGTCAGTAGGACACACACACACACACACACACACACACACACACACACACACACACACACACACACACACACACACACACACACACGCAGAGCACTCGCCCCGCCGGTGCTCCAGGGTTATCAGGCGCTGGGCCTGCGCGGCGGTCTGGGGCCGAGCCCTGACAGCCAGATCTACCATCAATTTACCTTCCGCCGCCCCAGCTTCCCATTTAGCTTTTAACGTCAAATCCTGCATTTTTGTCGGCTCCGGCCTGTCTAGAAAGCTTGTGATTTCGCTGCAGGAGTGATTGCTTTTAACAAAATGGCAGCAACCACATTATCCGAGCAATTAAAACAGAGACCTTTTAGCCGGTCCCGCAAGGCAGGAGCTTGGAAACTGCGTTTTTGTTTTTTTTTAAAGGAAAAAAAGAAAGGGAGTTAAAAGAGAAAGAAATGTGTGGCAGAGAAAAGAATGGAAGCACAGAAGAAACGCCTGCCCCAAACACCACTCACTTCCCTGGGGCTTGACAACGTGAGACACGGATGTTGGGTGGCTGCAGTGAGGGATAATCTGGGGTGTCTTGCCGGTGGAAGTGTCCCACTTAGGGTTCACGTTGGGTTAGGAGGTTCAGGCCCCTGGGGTGTCAGATCTGCTGGATGTCTGGCCTTGGGGTTCCTGGCGGGTTGGAATGTCGAGGTAGTTGAGGTGTAGGGGGCTGGTGTGGCTGGGCCCGAGGAAGCCGCGCGGCAGGCAGGAGAGGAGGCGGCCAGCGCCTGGCCCAGGCCAGACAAAGAGGACGCGTTTTCTGCAGCGCGGATTTAAAAGCATGGGTAGTGGCGAGCCGCCCCTTAGCCACGGTGCTGCCAGGGTCTTTTGGTTCTCCTCTGCTGATGTTTAATAAACCAGAAAAAAAAAGGTGTTAAACCAGCAGAAATGCGTTAAGGCCCAGACTGGGAAGAAGACAGCTACCCAAAGCAAGCACAGGCACACGTGCATGATGAAGGTTAAACTCCTCTCTGGCTCCGGTTTTGAAAACCTCACCGCCTCCACCACCATTCAGTCCACTACTTCGGTAAATGCTTTTCATCCACCCCTAGGGTCTGGTGTCTTTCTCTTGAACGGATTAAAGTAAAGACGCAAAAGGCGGCAGGAGGCAGGAGAGGGTGGGAGCCACTCGGTCAAACCGACAGGGATCCCGAGAGTAATAGAAAATCAGGGCGCGCCTTTCCCCGCCCCCCCCCGTGCTATAAACAAAGGCAAGTGTCTGTAAACACAGCCCCGCGCCCACCACGTCGGCCCAGCGCCCGCTGACCCGAGGGGAGAAAGTTCAGATCGCTTTGGCCGAGTTGTTCTAACCCCTCGCCCTCCCGTTGTCAGCTGCCCGCAGAAGAGACCTGCAGAGCCACTCGCTTGTCTCTGCCCCGGCCCTTGCGAATTAGCCGGCTGCAGGCGGCGGGCTTAGAGTGGGCACCGGCCAGGCGTGGGAACCGCTGGGATATCGGGGGAGGGTCTGTGACCGAAGCCGAGGTGCGAACATCACCCCGAGGATGGGTTCCAAGATGGAAACCCTCTGGCAAGCCTCCCTAACACCAGATTTATATACATGGCGTTTCATGAAACAAACCGCTTTTTAATACGTTTCACCTTTCTTCCCTCTCTCCTCCTCACTCCTGAATCCCTCCCCTCCTTCCCCCCCCTCCTCCCTGGCCTAGTCCTTTCTGGCGCTTCAGTCTCTCCGGTTCCTAGAGCAGAGATTCAGGCTCTAGCCAAGCCCAGGGGCTAAGGAGGCCTCAGGGACTTCCTTCCGGGATGTGCTGGGACTCAGCGAGACCAAACCTCCGACGGGGTGAAGTCCCAGGCGGCTGGTAGCCGGGGGAGGAAGCCGCTTGCTCGGCTGGCTTGCGGCCGGGAAGACTTCAGACACCGCACAGTTAATATTGAGTTCCCTGTAGCTCCTTGTAAATCTAACCCCTCCAACCTCTTTAAATCCTTGGTGGTGTTCGAGATTTCTTACTTGACGTTACCTAAGTTCCTTATTACCTAATCAAGGACTTTTTTCAAAGGCCCTCCCTCTTCCCCCGGCCTGCTGGGATGAGAATGCTCCCCTCCCCCAGGGAGACTACAAGCAAAAAACTTCCTCTTTCCTTTTTTTTCATTTCTTAGATTAAAGCCCTATATTTTGAATTAAAGACTCGAACGCCTGGGATCCTCCTCAAACCTCCTCCACCAAAAAACGCTCTCTCTAAACAAAAACCAAAGCCCCCACCTAATGGTATCTGGTTGATTGCATAAAAACAAGGACACGTTTCACCTTCTGAGGAAACTACAAGGCCTTTCCCCGATTCAGACCCTCCTACAGACCACTCAGCCTTCTCCTGGGAGCTGGGGGGGGGAGGGACGGGAGCGGGGAGACCCCAGGCTCTTTGGCAGGATTTTCACCAAGCACCCTTCTCTTTAAGGGACTTCCTCAGCCTGCAAGGACCAGAGCTCACGTTGATGATTGGTCGGAACCACTGACTCTTTCAAATAAAGTTAGAGGCAATCATGATAATTTAGTTTACTTCTGAATATTTTAAATATTATGAAAACAAATATAACAGCTTTGTTTTCAAAACTCTTTTGAGGTATCAACTATTAAAAGATTAGGGTTTTGTAAAAAAAACACACAGTGGTTTATTGAATACTTACAACGTTTACACCTTCAATATTAATTAAATTCCACTTAGCTTTAGAGGACGGAAGTGCACAAAACAAGTAGCTGTTGAAAACATCTTCGAATAAGGAACAACCACAGAAGAAACGACAGCACTAGATACCGACCCCAACGGAAATGTTAGCGGCCCCGTTTTCTGCTTTGAAATAAAACTTTATAATCCCCAGGAATATTTATATCCAAAGGCCAAGTATTAAAGATACACTTCACATACACACTAATGTCCGCTGTCTTTATCTGGAAGGGGGTGGGGTAGTTGGGGAGGGGGCCACGCTGGTGTCTACACAGCCAGGAGGGAACATTCACACACAGAGAATCTACAAGACGACGGGATTCCTTACCACGTGGGAGTGTCCTCTTCATATTAAAATATGGAATGCTTTTCTTCAAATATCCACTTTTTTTGGAAGGGGAGGTGGGGAGTGGATGCCTCAAAGCGGGGCAAAGAGAGGGGAGGCAAATTGCACATAAATAAACCGAATGATTCCAAATGCAAGTAGTCCTTGGAGCGGAGCGCGGAGAGCTTGCCCGGAGTCCTGGGTCTGCATCCGGCTCCTGGGCCCCAGCTCACTCGCACTCTCTTCCTCCTCCTCCTCACTGCTTGAGCTCCAGGGCCCAGACGTGCTGCGGCCAGCCCGTCCGGCCTTTGGTTTTCTTGTCGTTGCTGCTCACTGTGCTTTTCAAGATTTCGTTCTGAGCAGAGGGGAAGTGAGGGGGAGAAAAGTGGAAAGAGAAAAAAATTCAGAGAGGAGATCTGGTTCCACACCACCCCCCGCGCTTCCCGGGCCGGAGGAGACAGTGGGACCTGGACGGAGATGAGAGGCGGGATGGTTTCAAGTCGTAGACCCTGAAGAAAAGCTCGGACGGTTGAAGCTGCCCTAGCTACCTCCCAGGCCTCACGCGCCTGCAAAGCTCAACTACCGGATTCGCAAGTTTATAAACAACCACCCGTTTTCAAGTCGTTTATGGAGGAGCTGGGGGCCTTTTCTCTGACTCCAGATGTAGGGACGCGAGCGGGGGTCGGCGCTAAATCTGGTTTCCCTGTTTGCAATCGCAATCTCAGATTCACGCTCTTGGGGAGATGGGGAGAAGTTCCCTCCTCCCTGGCTTGGGCCTGCTGGCCTGCGGTTCTCGCCCCGCTGGCCTGCGGTTCTTGCCCCGCTCAGCAGTGCCTCTCTTCCAAGGCCTCTCTGAAATCCCTAGTTATTCTGGAGGTCACTCGATTATGCAGTCACTAAAGCGCCACAAGCTCCAAAGAAGAAAAATTTCTACAAATGGCATTATTTTCCAGGTCCTTCTTGGCAACAGCCCAGCTCTGAACACTACCACCCTAAGGGCACTTGGTAGGAACTTGAGAAAACTAATTTTCAGTTATAATTTCGTATTACTGTTAACAACAATAACAATTATCATAGTAATATTTACCATTTGTCTTAAAATGTGCAGGTCACTGCAAATAAAACAAGAAATACCCATGAAATATACTCATCTGGTAAGTTACATTTTAACCTCACCGCCAAAGAGAAACTGGAGCTGCATTTTGAAGCTGAAAGTGCTTATTTTATGTTTACCTTTACGTCTTCCGGGCACAGTAAGAACAACCATAAAACTCTTAGAATCAGTGGCAGCCTCGTTCTCAGGAGGTGAAAATGGACTCAGTAGTGAAATAATTGGAATTGTGCGTTTTGGGGCGACTTATTTCAGAAATGTCTGAAAGCAAGATCGGATTGGAGGCCAAATTGAGGGCTCTAAAGGACACGGAATGAGGGGTCCGTGCCAGTGCGAAAGGAAGATCAATCGCGACCCCGAGTCCGCGAGGCCCGTGCTAAGTGCCTGGGGGAGCAGCGATAACCCGGAGGGAAGATCACCAGTGCGAAGCATCCCTCTTAACCTCCTCCTCCTGCTGACACCCTTCCCCCCTCTCCTTTGCCTCTTCAGGAAACCATCCCTACCGCAACCTGATGCAAACAAACTAGGCTCAGGACACAGCCGAAGAACGCGGGATGCCACTGCTCACCCCAGCTGGAGACTGGGAGCACCGGTCCCCCGAACTGCGCACCCCCACTGCCCGCTGCATCCCGGTACTAACCAGCTCCTTCTTCCTCTTCTCTTCTTTCACATCTGTCTTCTTGATCTCGGCCTTGAAGGCCTCCGCCTCGCCGTTCTGGTCGTCCTTGGCCAGCAGGTCCATGAGGTAGGCGATGTAGCTGGTGGCCAGGCGCAGCGTCTTGATCTTAGAGAGTTTGGTGTCAGCGGGCACGTTGGGGATGCACTCGCGCAGTTCGGCGAAGGCGCTATTGATGCTCTGAGTCCTGCGCCGCTCCTTGCGGTTGGCAGTGCCCCGGCGCTTCACCGGGCGCGGCCCCCCCAAGCCCGGGGGCCCGGCGCCCGGCGGCACCCCCCCGTAATGGGAGTGGTCCAGGCCGGCGGCACCGCTGGCGTACTCAGGGCTGTAGGACAGGGCCATGCTGTAGTCGGGGGGCGACATCTCGGGGTGGCCGATGAGCCAGCCATGGAAATAGGGGTTCTCCTCGTGGCTGCAGCGGCTGGCAGCGGCGGCGGCGGCAGCAGCGGCGGCGGCGGCAAACGGATAGCCCTCATGGTGCACCACCGGGTGGTGGGGGAAGCCCCCCACTAGACTCATCTCGCCCTCCGCGCCCCTCCAC